CGTGCATCCCTAGTACAAATACTACATTTCAAATTCACATTTTCAAAACAAAAGCTGATTGTCCCTGAAATGACTGTGACATGATATTCGAAACTTGCTTCTCACCTGGACACATCTGCAGAGGGGGCAGGTACAGAGGCAGGAAGCCACCTGCGTTTTCTCTCTAATCTCCTCCACTGGATGTCATCTGGTCCTTCCTCACAAACCTCAACAGATCCTGTCCTACAGCGCAAAACAGAAAAGACACTTTAACATGCATCCAAGAGACACTGTTCAGTCACCAAAAAGAAACAAAAGTCACATGTGCGCTTACATGATCTGCGTCAGCGTGCCGACCGTCGCACCCTGCTGGCTGGGCAGTGATGAGTGACAATGCTGAGTGAGCAGAAGAGAGTGGCATGAGTCTCCATTCTCCTGCACACATAAACACTGCTTAACACTTCCTGTTTCATTCAAACGCGATAAATGAGACCAAACTCAGAAACACAATTAGTGCAATACTAACCTTCCTGTTTTTATCCAAACATGCATCTGAATCACCTGCTGAAGAGTAAAAGACCATTACTTTGACGAGTTTGGAAAGCTCATATTACTAAACATTTATTTTTTTCTGTTCTGTTATACAGAGTTCATTACGACAATCAATTAAATAATACATCTATGCAAAAAAATCTTGTTTAAAAAAAAAAATGAAAACGTTTACAGTATTACAGTTATGATGGAAATATATGTGGAAATATATTGTGCAGCACCAGATTAAAAATTGAAAAACAAAAATGATTTTTTTTTTTAAATCTAAAAAAAACAAAAACGTAGTTTTTAATATTTAAAGTTGAAATTTACATTAATGTTGGTTTACAGTTTTGTATCATTGAGATACTATTACAGTTTTTATTAATATTTTGAATTAGTTTTTATTTTTAGATTTTGACATTTTCAATTTAAAGTTTTAGTCATTTTGTTCTGTTTTTTTTAGTAATTTTTATCAGATTATTATCATGCATCTATATAGGTTTTATTCATTTTTATTTATTTTTTTGATTTTTGTTTTAGTTATTTTAGTACATTAAGTTAGAGTAAATGAAAATGAAAAATGTTGCCTTGGCAACTTGATGAATTTTTTTTTTTGTGTTTAAATATTTTATTTTAGTTCAGTTAAAATTTATTTTATTTCAAGAAAAAAAAAAAAGTTTAGTTTTAGTTTAGTTAGCAACTATAAGTCTGGTTTACAATACTTTAATGTATTATGATCTAACAAGACCAAAGTATTTTCTGTTGTAATCAACAGAATTTTTAACCTGGAATATTCTTTCATATTGAAATATGATACAAATATCATACAAATATTGATATATGATACAAAATTGTATCATATATCAATATTTGTGTTGAAATATGATACAAAAACCAAACAAATATATCATGAACAAGACAAGAATCAATATTGAAGCACATACATTTTCTGTGGCATTTCAGTTTGGCGTTAGCTCTTTTCTCTTGTGTTCTCTCTGTACTTCCTGTCTCTCCCCTGTTAACGACACAATTATATATGATATAATCAGATAAACAGCATACGCAAACACAATCACACTGCACTTACACAGAGACGCGACACATTCGTTGACCATCCTGACTGCAGCATGTGTGCAGCTCTGACAGTCTGGGTGCCCTCACTGGAAGCTGAAACACAGAGGAGAAGCCCGGCTTAGTTTCATCAGGAATAAGTGCCTCTTACTGAGACGTACAGGACATCAGGAGGACGTCTGACCTTGATGCACTGCTGCGAGGAACCCTGCAGGTGGATCACGCTGAAGGGTCTGCGGTCCACCGGGCAGGACTGAACCATCTGTAGCCCATCACACACAACATTACACATTACAACCTGGGCATTGTGCAGATTATACAGGCTGTTACATCTGACAGTACAGGAACATACAGTGCATACAGAATATATAGAGAAAAACAACATAGGCTACATAAAATAAAAATGAGATTAAAATAAAAACCAATTACAAATGAGTAAATAAATATAAAACATATTGCACAAGCTAAGTTTGAACTTCGCAGGTTTCATACCTCTTTTTGAGGGATCTGATCAAAAATCCCACATACATATATATATATATATATATATATATATATGCATGCACAAGCTTTCACAGATATTCTGGTTTACACATATATACAGTATCAGGGCTCGACATTAACGGGACAAGTGGATTTTTTAAAGGGGCAGGTGAAAGAGAATTTTACTTGATTTGACTACATTCAGTGTAAACAGTGACTGATAATGTTGACAGTAAGGTCGCACCAAGTTGAGTCTCGCGCAGCGAAACCAAACAAATGAGCACGACAACAAACAAAAAACTCACAGGTTACAGAAGCATAATGCAGTAGAAAATTATATTTATAATATAGGTAAGCAACATCACATGACCAAGAGTGATGTTTTCCTAAATATCAGCACAATTGCAAATTTGACACTGATTTTATACAACAGTAGTTCAACAAACTTAAAGTTATAATTAAGTGACTTACATTTTAGATACAATATTTACTGTTTTTTTGCCAATGAAAATAGTTCCAAACCAAGCCACAGCAGAACTGTTGCCGTCTCCGAGCAACAACACACAACGATGTTTCGTTACTGAACCGTTTTTGAACAAATCAGGTGAGTCAATGATTCAGTGACTCATTCATAAAGACAGTCAACTTATGCTTCATTCTTGAAGGAATCAGCCATTTGAACGAATCGGTTGAAGGAATGACTCAATGACTCACTCATTAAGACAGTCACTTGCTGCCACCTGCTGTTTAGTTTCATATGATTTAATTTGAATGGTGCCATATTATTCTAACTGAATTTATTTATGACATTTAAGAATTTGACATGAAAGATGACTAATACAGCTTAAAATGATCTGAAACAGAGAAGTGAAATTGGGTTAAAGGGTTAGAATAGAAATTGTGCTTCAGTAATTTTGCGTTAAATTATTTTAATGCATTAAAGAATTAATCGCATGCGTTAACGCATTAACGTATATGTTTTTTTATTTATATATTTTTTATTTTTGTAAGAAGTCTCTTATGCTCACCAAGGCTGCATGTACTTGTTCAAAAATATAGTAAAAACTATAATATTATAAAATACTGTTACGGTTTAAAATAACTTATCCCTGTGATCAAAGCTGAATTTTCAGCATCATTACTCCAGTGTCACATGTACGGCTGCCTCCTAATAGTAGACTAACCGTTAGTCAACGAGAAGAGGCTTAGTCGATCAAAATGTTATTAGTCGCTTAGTCACAAAAAAAAAACAATTCCACAGGAAGTGGCAAAGTCACGTAGTCCAAGACGGACAGATTAATTACAGCTGGTCTATATGGTAATTACAGTACATCGGACATCCAAAAGTTCGTTTCGTTCATCGACCTCAAATGTGGCTTATCATCTGACACATTGTGGAGATGATAAGTCAGTGTCATCAACTTCATCACTGCAGGAGAAAATACAGAAAACACTAGTTTATCAATGAATTATTATAATGTTAAAGGTGACAAAACCTGGAAAAGTCAGATTTTCATGATATAAGTGCTATAATCAGGTCCCCGGTGCATCTACCAACCAAGGAAACGTGAAAAAGATTAACCCAGTAACTTTGTTTTGGTAAGCCTTTTTCTGCAAGCGTCTGAGAAAATGAGCGCATATTTATAAATAAGGGATCTCATTATAATATTACTGCCCCTTAATCTTTAAGTTTGCACCCATGGCACCGTCATTTGATTTCACAAGCGACAACGGTGTACCAGTTCTAATGCCATGGCGAAAGTTTGAGCAAAACATGCTAACTGTTGTGTTTGGCTGCACAGACGAGCACTGAACACTGTTTAGAGTCCCAGCCTCAGAGGAGACAACAGAGCAGTGCAATTATTGATGTATTTATGTATATTGCTGCTGCCACATAGATCTAAAATAAACAAGTGATTTATTTCCCAGCTGTTTACCTTCACAGACATAACCCACTGTTTTTGTAACTTATGTGTGCTTTTGACGTAAACTTATGTGTGAATGAGAACTTAGTTTAGTACTCACATGCTGTGACAGCCGCTTTCTGTCCGTGTGCTTCGGATGTGTGCGCTCAGAAAACCGTATATCAGAAGTTTAAACTCTGGTTTAAAACTAGGGGTGTAACGATTCACTCGTTTTCTGGATGCATCGATTACAAACCCTGACGATGTAACGCATCGATCTTGAAACATGGATTTTTGAATCGTGAATCGCCGATTTCGGACCGTAATCGATTTAAAAAGCTAAGAACCGAATGAATCGCGATTTCTATAGCGATTTAATACTTTCAAAATATATACACATTAAATTACTACAAGCACAAATTAATGGAGACCTTGAACAGTGTTCGTGCCCTCGCATTTCTCCTTCACGCGCTCCACTATTTCCCGCCTGCAGGGACTGTCACAGCATTGCGCTCACGCTCCATTCGTCTCACTGACGCAGCTGATGTGTGATCTCTCCTTAGTACTCGTGGCCAGTAATGCTAAAGTGAAGTAGTTTTACTTTTCTGTAGTTTTTCAATGGCATTTAAATAATCCTGTGAATGCACTTAAAGAATGCAGAATCGAATCGTTAATCGAATCGAATTTAATTGTGAATCAAATTGAATCGTTCTGAATTTGTAAAAATCGTTCTTGAATCGAAAACCTATGAATCGAATCGATTTGCTGTCTACCCAAAGATTCACAGCCCTATTTAAAACGCACGATTTCAGCGCAATAAACATGATAATCAGAACCAAAACAGATGTTTTTAGCAGGTCCGAGCTGTAATGGCACAGCTCTGTTCCGGAAAAGCTGAAACTTCACAGACACACTCTGGGGAAACCAGAGACTTCTATTACATATTGTAAAAAGGTGCATAATGTGTCTCCTTTTAGGCAGTCTTCTTGCTGTTTTTTCCCTGACACATTCATAATCGTTACTCAGTCCAAGCAGTAGACGTGTCTGCAGCAGTCGGGTACGGCTCTTTCCGTCCGTCTGGGTCGGTTCAGACAGATTGGGCACCGCTGAGCCTCCTCTTCCTCCAAACTCTCATCTGAGCTCTGCCCACCTGAAAAAAAAACAAAAAACACAGAGTTAAAGTTTTACTTACCTTTTACAGAATAATGCATTAAAATATGAAATGCATCCCAGCCAAATTCAACAACTCATTCCTATATGCCTTGTTCAGTCAAGTGTATGTAGAGTTACAAAGGCAGCATATCCAGATATGAATAAACCCCGCTCACCCTTTCCTGGCCCGTCTTGCATCTTTGGCTCCGGGTCACAGCAGCTCTGAGCCCTGATTTACTGTCCCAACACATTTAAAGAAAAAAAACATACAATAAAGCACAACTCTGATACATTTCAATCATCATCATGACAGCGCAACTCAGTCACTGTGTCTTTATTTGCTGTGTTTACTCTCTCTCTCAACACAGCTGAAGTTTGAGTTACTCATTAGCAGCCTGTAGCGATTAAAGAGGCATTTAGAGCTCTTTATACTCATTGAAGTTAGTCCTACATGATTAATTAGTATGTATAACATACATAGACACATATCGAGATGTTTATAAGTACAGACTCTTGTTTATCAGTGTGACGCGGCTAGCTGTGTTAGCATCCGCTGTCATTAGCACACACTCACCTCCGCGCGCGTCCCTCCACGGCCTTCAGATCATATATTAGTACGCAGGACGCTCCTCAGCGCAAAAACACACTTTTCGTGCACTTTCATGAGCCCTTGCTCTCGTAATTGCGATAGATTTAAAGGCGTCCGGCCACATGTGGGTCAGAAGCTGCAGTTCCGCCTCTTCACCGCTGGGTGGCGCTGCTGCGGGGCATGATGGGAGACTCAGCGCGTCATCACGTAGGGTTTAAGGTTCACGGATTCGGAACTTCTTCCTGTGGAGGAAAAATTTAAAATAGTCCACCAAAGGGAGCTCCCCTTGCTCAGTACAATTAAAAATGATAAATATGTAAAACGTAAAAAAAAAGATGAATAAAAACACGCAAGAAAGCAATTTGTAAAATTCACATTGCCTCTAATTTGTTATTTAGTAATATGAAATATTAAAATAATAATAATAACAATAATAATAATAACAATATATTGATATGGTATAAAAACAATCTGTGAAGCCATTTACCCACAACAGTGAGCTTAACGTTGATGAAAACTACTACTATTTTTCTTATATATTATACTGAGTGTTACAGCCAAAACAAATCCTTCCTTGAGTCTTTTTTTTGTTTTGATCGATTACATTTCTATTAACGGTATCAGAGCGCTGATTGGTCCTTTAAGAATAATTGACAATAAAACTGACCAATAAGAGATCACGTCGCTGCCGCAGCGCTCCGCCTCCTTTGGTTTGTGCTTAGTTTATTTTCCGCTGAATAATTTTTCTAAAGACTAAAGAGTGTTTGGATGTGATTACTGTTGCCATCTTAAATGTTATGAAGTGTTTCTGTTTAAAACGATCGAGTGATCACACTTTTTAAAAAGTACTATATATACAGTATATAATCCAAACGGCGTAACAGAATCATGCATTGCAGAAAGTATCCAGCAGAGGGCGACATTAAACACGAACAAAAGAACAAGTTCTGTCAATTCATCACAAATGCTTTGCGAATATATATATATATATATAAATTCCTGAGCAGATTTTTAAAAAATCGGTACTTTTATGGTGTACAAATGTAATACAAATAATTAATTAAAATGTATATATAATAATATAAATACTTTTTACATAATATAATAATAATAATAATGTATAATTTTATAATAATAATAATTTAATAAATGTATAATATATAGACACACTCACACACTCAAAATGTGAACATATGTTAGAAAATACAGATTTGTAAGTAAATACCAAATACCATTTAAAAATATATATATTTAAAATGTAATAAATAAAATAAAATAAAAAATAAAAACGATTCATGAGCAGATTTAAAAATAAAAATATTGCATTGTATGCTGTTTAAATGTCATAAAAATAATTAATACAAATTTTATATAATATTAATAAAACATTAAAATCTGTGTGTGTGTGTGTATATATATATATATATATATATATATACACACACACACACACACACACACACACAACTCTGTTCCGGAAAAGCTGAAACTTCACAGACACACTCTGGGGAAACCAGAGACTTCTATTACATATTGTAAAAAGGTGCATAATGTGTCTCCTTTTAGGCAGTCTTCTTGCTGTTTTTTCCCTGACACATTCATAATCGTTACTTCTACCGGTGTGCTGTGGCAAATTTTATGTGTGCGCTTGAGTGCTGATAGGCTATAGGCAATTAAAGGCGACTAGAAAAATCATTAGTCGAGGACAGCCCTAGTCACATGATCCTTCAGATATCATTCTAATATGCTGATTTGCTGCAAAATGTGAACATATGTTAGAAAATACAGATTTGTAAGTAAATACCAAATACCATTTAAAAATATATATATTTAAAATGTAATAAATAAAATAAAATAAAAAATAAAAACGATTCATGAGCAGATTTAAAAATAAAAATATTGCATTGTATGCTGTTTAAATGTCATAAAAATAATTAATACAAATTTTATATAATATTAATAAAACATTAAAATCTGTGTGTGTGTGTGTATATATATATATATATATATATATATACACACACACACACACACACACACACACAACTGTTCAAAACATTTAGGATCAGTAAGATTTTTAATGTTTTAAAAAAGTCTCTTCTGTTCATCAAGGCTGCATTTATTTGATCAAAAATCCAGAAAAAACAGTAATATTGTACTACTATTTAAAATAATGGTTTTCTAATTTAAAATACTTAAAATAGTTGTGCTGCTTAATATTTTTTTGGAACAGAAAAAGAAAAAGAACAGCATTTATTTAAAACAAAAATCGTTTTAAATAAATGCTGTGTAACGCCACTGACAAAATCATTCAATAAACAATAAATGTACTTTTAACACCCTGAAATATTTAGTGTGACCATATATGTAACAAAGAATAAAAATATAAAACAGTAGGTTCGATGTGTACTTGACAAGTCTCATGCCTGAACAATAAGAGATTTCTATCAAATATCTCAAGGACACATAGATGGGTTATCATGAACCTTTAATAGACATTAATTACATGATATACATAGTGTTTCATTGAAACAAGAGCGTATCATTCGCAGGAATGGCCTCTTGTACATGAGGAGCGCTTCACCCCTCTCGGGTCTGAGTACAGCATTTTAGTAGTAAGGTGAAAGGTGTGTGTGTGTGTGTCAGGGCCGATCACAAGTCTATAGGAACCTTGTGCTCAGTTTGACATTCACAGCCAGATGAAGAGGGGCCGATCAGGGGCCCCGACACACACCGAGGGACATCTAAAGCCATTTTAATATTTCAAACATGTTGAGTAAAATTGAGAAAAAAACGAATAAACGACAGCATATATACACTTCATTTGTGGTATATACACATATGTACAATATATATATATAAATATAGTAAAATAGATTAAATTACAGATGTTTTTCCATAAATAACAGCTGGAGAGTAACATGTTGGATGACACGAGGTTTAGCTGTTGGAAGCACAGTGAGGTGTGTGTGTGTATGTGTGAGAGACGGTGGTCCCATGACCTCTCCATTCACCACTAATAACGGCTGATTAGTGGACGACACACACTCCTCTGTCTGTCAGTCAATAGTCTCTCGTTCATGGAGTAACTTCAAGCTGCCGATGGCAAACACTGAAAAGGTAAGTCAAGTTAAACACTAATGGTCTCTTTTCCCCTCGGCAACAACATTCTGCCATTCGATTCTGCGGTTTACAAAGCAAAACAAATGACAATCATACGGTCAATCTTTAAAGTCAACATGAAGCGACAACCAGCTACTCGTTTATTTCTGTAATGTGACAAATGTTAGAGTGAAACAGGATATTCAACTCTTTTTTTGAATCATTATTTGCTATTAGTGCATTTGTATTAATGTTTTAGAAAGGCTGAATAACCTAAAACAGTCTAAAACAATGAATGAATAGCTATTCGACTGTAGGTAAACATCATTTCGATGTGACGTCAGCTGAACAGCCATTTCAGATAATGTGCAATGATGAAATGTTCATCATTAGACCAAGAATGTGTAGTTTTGATGATAAAAATGTTATTTCTGAATGTTTTTGTTGGATAGAACATTCTATTTGATCATTTTGCAAACATTATGGGAAAGTTACTTTTGGATGTTCTCTGAATGTTCTGAAGCAAGTTGCAACATTTAAAAAAATGTTACAGTAACGTCCAACTTTGAACGAACGTTCTGTTAACGTTACTAGAAGAACGTTTGTTTAAAACTTAGAAAGAACCTTGCACTTTGCAAATGCTAGATGTCCAACTAAAGTGTTTATGAACAATGTATAAATAAAGTTTTTACGCTAATGTTTTGAGAGCATCTTTAAAGACCAGAGAATCTTGAACGAACGTTCTATTAGCGTTACTGGAAGGTTCTTTTAACATTTTTGGAACGAATGTTCTGTTCAAGTTTGTTAATAACCTTTGCTAGAACGTTCTGCAAACATTCCCTGTTAGCTGCGTCTCATGGTGACTGTGAAGCACCCATCGTTGTCTTCAGGGTTTAAATAAGTTACAGTAAATTCATTCAGCCGTTCCACCTGTCTGAAATCAACAACTACAAATCAGTATTTGTTCATTAGTAGATCTACACGACAGGTAAAGGTGACTCAAGTAGTACAGTATAAATGGCATCGTAACGAATGCGTTTAAAGCACAGCCAAGATGTGCAAAATTACAGTTTTTTCACATTTGCTGAAAAAAGAGTAAGTGCTTTTCTACAAACAAACACCGATATTTTTGGCAAAGGTACAAACGGTTCGAACACGCATCTGCAGGCGACGCTCCGCTCAGTGTTGATCGTGAAACCAGTTTTGGTTGTGAGTACAAAACGCCTAACCTGAAAACAGAGAATGATGCACGTGTGCGACGTACCACCGAAAAACTCAGCTGTACCGGAAGAACAACACAAAAGAAAAGCAAATCAACCAAAAAAAGAAGCACAACAATACGAGTGGATCACCATCTGTGTGGCCTAACAGCATACTGTACAAAGTTCAGGACATTCTCTCAGAATGGGATGTTTGTCTTTGCTCTGCACTGAAAATAGAGCAGCTTCTTCTAGTTCTCAGTTGCAGCGTAAGCGGCTCGGCTCCGCCCATCTGCCTGTCAATCAGGGTTAGGACACGCCCACTAGTGGCCGTCAGCGTGCTCGCCTGAAGATCCAGCGTTGTGGATCCAGTCTGCGATGATCAAAGCCATGCTGCCGATCATCACCATGAATCCCACGATGAGGAACAAAGTCGCCTGAGAAGAAGGAGAGTGTGATGAGACACACTGGGTCGATCGCAGGTCAAGAACACACGTGTTCGGTCAGATCATGTCTTACCCCCATCTTCTGGACAGATTTCATGGACTCCTTCTTCACCAGTTTGATGTAGAAGGCCGAGGGAAGGATGAAGATCAGCATAGCAGCAGCGGACGCACCTGCAGGGAGACCAAAAACACATTTAAGACATTTTTGTTACTTGAAATAAAATAAAAATATTTATATAAAAGCTGTAAATAAAAAACTTAGATATAAATATTAAAAAAACCCTAAGCTTATTTTATTTCAGTTTGTTGACAAGGTAACATTTCTAATTTATTATTACTAAAATAACTAAAACTGAAATAGTAATTAATAAAAACTATAGAGACATATTAAAAAACATGAAATCAAATAAAATATTTTAAACGTATTAAAAAATAAAAATAAAAAAACTGAAAAAAAAAAATCTGAAAAATCTTATTTTATTTCAGCTTCTTGTAAAGGAAACATTTCTAATTTTTTTTGGTTGAAGTAGTAAAACAACTAAAATTGACAGATTATTAAAAACTATATAGATGTATTTTTAAAATGACAAAAACAACAAAATTACTAAAACTTTAACTGAAATTAAAATAAAGCAGGAAGATATAAAAATAAAAACAAATATTCAAAATATTAATAAAAATGATAATAGACTATTAATGATACTAAAATTGTATAATGCAGTTCAGAGGTTACATATTAATGTTTTAAAATAAAATTACTAAAAAATATAAAATGATAAAAAATAAAATGTGACTCTGGACCACAAAAACAGTCATAAGGGTTCATTTTGAAACATATGAAAGCTGAATAAATAAGCTTTCCATTGATGTATGGTTTGTTAGGATAGAACAATATTTGGTCGAGATACAACTATTTGAAAATCTGGAATCTGAGGGTTCAAAAAAATCTAAATATTGAGAAAATCACCTTTAAAGTTGCCCAAATGAAGTTCTTAGCAATGCATATTACTAATCAAAAATTAAGTTTGAATATATTTACAGTAGGAAATTCACAAAATATCTTTATGGAACATAAATGACTTAATTAGAACATTAACTTAGAACATTTACTTAATGTCCTCATGATTTTTGGCATAAAAGAAAAATCTATAATTTTGACCCATACAATGTATTGTTGGCTATTGCTACAAATATACCCCAGCGACTTAAGACTGCTTTTGTGCTCCAGGGTCACATATATGATATTACAATAACACTGGCACACACACGCGCAATGACATTACTTCCTGTGTCCCCTTACCGATGAATCCGAAGATGTCTCTGATGGTGGGAACGAAGATGACGAGGATGTTGACGCAGACGAGCAGAGCGACGGTGATGCAGATGTGACGTGGCCAGCTGAACTCTTTGGAGGCGCCGAGCAGCTGGTTGACTGAGGTGCGGATCTGAAACGTAAAAAAAAAAATTGGTCAACACTCCTGCAACGTTTCTGTCTGTTTCCACACCTGTAAATGTGCTGGAATACTCACTGGGAAGAGAACCACGGGCACCGTCAGCGTCACGGCAGTCAGGACGGCAAAACGCACGATCAGAAGCACCACGTCGAAATTGTAGACCTTTGAGTAAGTGTGCAGGAGCTCGGGTTCAACGGCCTCTGTGGAATAAACCATGTTTAGTTCAGACTTACTACAGAATTTAAGTGTTATTTTAGTACATTTAGATATTATCCCAGCTATTATAAAACGGAGAGTTCCGGTGCTTGATTCTGATTGGTTGAGCCACGTTCGAAGCTGTTGTAAATTACTCTACAAACACTCATCTTTGTTTACTTCTGTGTGTTGCTCGGCAACCACTTTGTTGGATTCTGAGGAACTACATTGTTTGGCGGAAGAACACTGTTTTTATTAATATCATTACACTTTATTTGCTCTGTTTTATTTTGTGAAACCTTACTACGTATATGGAATAACCGTTTTATAAAAGCAATAAGCCCCATGAAGCCGTGGTTTACAGTGATAAGCCCCGTGAAGCCGTGGTTTACAGTAAATTTATAACAGCTAAGGGGCGTTGTTAGCCTACACCCCCCCTTAGCTGTTATAAATTCACTGTAAACCACGGCTTCACGGGGCTTATTGCTTTAATAAAACATTCATCCAAAGTTATCTGGTCTTTAATAACATTCTCAAAATGTTAGCACAAAAACATAATCTATACATTGTTTATGGAATGTTTTTTTTCTTGTTCGTCGAACATTTTTTAAATGTTACATGCCGTTTCAGAATGCTCAGAGAACATTTAAAAGTAACGTTCATATAATTGTTTTCAAAAATGATAAAACGGAATGCTCCCTTAACTTTTGCATAACAAGGATTAACATTTTTTTAAATTTAAAAATGGACATTTTGAACATTCAGAGAACATTCAGAAATAACGTTTTCATAACTTAATGTAAACTTTAGCAAAATGTTCTTCGAACATATTTTTGTTAGTTGAGATGAGTTTATTAATATTTTTTATTTTTATATTTTTGATTTTCATTTGAAAGATTTAGTAATTTTTGTTGTGTTATTGTCATTTTTAGTAGTTTTATTTATTTAATTATTTTCAGTTGTAGTTTTACTTATTTTGGTTCTTTAACAACTAAAGAAATAAACTAAGAAATAAAATTACCATATGACAATTAGAAATGTAGCCCTGCCAACTAGCTGAAATAAACTTTTTTTTTTTTGTAATGTTATTATTTTTTTCAGTCAATGTTTATTTTATTTCAAGTAACAAACATGTTTTTTAAGGTTTAGTTTTAGTAGCCCTGCTCTGAATGGTGAAAAACACATCTTATTGTCAACAAATTCACTGTAACTTTGTCCTGCACATCAAACAAACCATCCCACAAAAATGTTATTTTTCCATTTGCCGAGTCTGAGAAGTCCCTGCGTTGCATAACGTTTCCTGTCTATCAGGGAAACGTAAAAACATCAAACATGATGTTCTATTCCTGTTCCGTTTCTGCCGGTTCAATCCGGTGCGCTCTAACAGACACACCTCCGTTTAAAACAAACACTGCCTCACTGTATATTTCAACCTGCCACTGGACTATAAAATGTGTCGTAATGCGTTTGGAAGATGTTCAGGCTCTGATGTGGGCGCGCGTCTGCGTTTCGCTCACCGTTGAAGGTCAGGTATCCAAACAGAGCAGCCAACAGATACATGACAAACATTCCCAGGAACGAGACATTTGCAACATTCTGCATCTTCCTTCTGGAACGACTGCAGAGAGAGAGGTAGAGAAAGAGTTAGTTGGTACAGTGGCTTTGTATAGTGAGCTTGAACTCACAAAAAGCAACCTGTAGCGATTAAGTATTTTATATTAAAGCGTTAAAGTCACACTCACTCTTTGAGCTCCTCGTACATTGGCAGAATAGCCGGGTGGCACACAAACGCAAAGGTCAGGATGGGCACCGCATACACAGTCTAAGATAAAACAATAAAGTTAGATCACCACACACTCCTTTCACTCAAATGCAAATATCCGAATGCAAATATCTGTCTCGTACCTGTGAGTTGAAGACGAAGTACTTGGGTTTGCAGCACTCTTCATCAGTAGTGTTGACCTGCGGCTGAGAGACGTTCACTGTGATGTTAATGAAGTTCTCCGGTAACTGACAGGGGATCTGGAACTTCTTGTAGATCACCTGAAGAACAAAAGCAGGAGGGATCGTCTCATCAGACTAACAATAGCAGCTCCAATGACACTCTTGCTTTCATTTGCATATTTATTTCTATGTTAAACAAGAGCAATTTAAGTAAAACTGAGCAATTTATCTCAGTACTCACCACAATAAGGAAGAACACCATGCACAACAAGGAGAAACCACTAGTGTATCCCAGATAACCTGAAATGAAACACAAACCATAAGGATCAACATAAACCACACTAAAATTTAAGTCACCCACATTTAATTTTTCTAAAATTGCACTAAATTTATTTGTATAATATTTCAGTATTTTTTTGTAATTTAACAATTTTTATAATAATAATAATAATAACAATAAATAGTAAAAATGTTAATTATAGTAATGATTGCATTTATTTTGTTCATAATTTTATTATTTTCACAAAAACTGCCACATTTCACCCTAATATAATATATATAATATTTTCTAAAATTGTATAACATTTTTTATAATAATTATCATAATACAATATAATATATATATATATATATTATAATAATAATTTTATATATTTATAATTAACATGTTTTATTATTTGTCGTTATTCATGATGAACATGAAACGGTCACATTTCACCCTCATATATAATCATTGTTTGCTATAATTGTATTATGCTAATTTGCATATTATTTTTTTTTTATTTACAATTTTAAAATTTGTATACTTGTATGTATTATTTTATTAATAATATAATAATCTATTATATTATAAAAATCTATTATTAAGTCACTTCAGCCTCATATTTTATACAAATGTTTTTTTCTAAAATAGAATTACTTCTATTTTTATAATAATTCTATTTAATATTATAAAAATAATTGTAAAGTAAATGAAGCATATTTAACTGTATTTTATGGTTTTACAGGGAACAGGCTTAATTTTCTGTATGCAAAATATAATTTTGTAAATAATAAATAAAATAAATTTGAAAAAATGGGGTATCATTTTATTACTTTGCTCTTCATTTGGGAACACTTACCCAGGTTTTTAAGCAGCGAGAGCGGCAGTATGATAGCCATAGTGACGATCAGCACCAGATAATCTCCATTAGTGTACCACGAGCTGCAAAACACACCACAGACATCGATATTAGCATGCTGAGGAAATGACACGCAGCTGTTCTGCAACATCCTCTTTCACAAACACAAAACTCTAGAGCGTGTTTCACTTCTGTCTTGTGGCTTTGGACTCCATGTAGGGGTCTGAATCTTTCATGTCAGTGTTTGTTGTATTGGGTCACTGTCACAAAGCTCTCAATTGACGTCTGTGAACAGATGCTCAGACCCCCCGATCGAACAGCTGTACAATGAAGCGCTCACACTGTTCTGCACAGAGCTGGAAAACATTCCAGCACAACAACAACAGCATCAGCCTGTGCTGTCCAGTCCTTGCACAGCTCCGGAAATCAGCGCACATGTGACAGAAATAAATGAAATCTTACTTGTCATTGCTGTCCAAGAAGGCCTTAATGACGATGGGCAGCTCGTACTTCACAATGTAGAGGTAGCTTGCCATAGCTGGGATTGAAAGAGAGTTTGAAAACATTTTAGCACCTTAAAACAAACCAAAATATCACTTGCTATCTGCACATTTCCAGGCAACAAATTTGGGTTATAAAAACATTGTGGGAACATTGTTTAGAAATGTTTCTAAAATGTTGAAATGTCCAGTTTTCTTGTTAAGATGATAACGTTATTTAAAGGTTACAAAAACGTTTCTTAGAATGTTCTATTAACTCGATTTCCACCGAAAATCAAATGTTTTTTTTAATGTTTATTTTTAACGTTCTAAAACGTTAAAATGTCCAGTTTTATTGTCGTGATTATAATGCTATTTAAAGGTTACAAGTATGTTTCTTGCGATTTTATTTTTACCCAAAATACGTTATTTGATCTTTTTATATTCTAAAACATTTCTTAAAATGTCTATTAACTCTATTTTCACTGAAAATAAAATGTTTTTTAAATGTTTATTTTTAACGTTCTAAACCTTTCTCGTCGTGATTATAATGTTATTTAAAGGTTACAAGTATGTTTCTTGCAGCATTTTACAAACTTATCCCAAAATACGTTATTTTTTATATTCTAAAACGTTAAAATGTCTAGTTTTCTTGTTGATTGAAGGTTACAAAAATGTTTCTTAGAATGTTCATCAACTACAGATTTTCTCTCAGCATTACGAGAACGTATATTGAATATTAAGAAAGCTACAAGAACGTTCCGTAACCATTACTTTAAAACTTATAAAAAAAAGCTAGTGAAAGTTGTGAGAATGTTCCCTGTTAGCTGGGTTCACATTACTAGTCGTACCTCCGAAGTTTTGCATGGTGATAGAGCAGGACGCCGCCAGTTTGCCGGGAATCCCAAAGGCCTTGTACCCCAGCTGTTCGTACACCAGAGAACCTGGACGGAGGAGGCAGAGCATTAAAACTCATACTTATCACGGTTAAAAATAGAAACATAGCAGCACAGAGCGAAGCTAACCTCCTTCATTGGCCGTTTTGAGCAGCAAATGGACTGAGTAGAGGGAGAAAATGGCCACGGCGACCAGCAGGATCCTACAGAAATTAACAAAAACACTTCATTATTAAAATCGCTCTCAAACTCTTTCATGGGTTGCAACGCTCTCTTTAAACACTAAATGTCAACATGAAGCAGCATTTTATCTCAGTGAGACAAGACTGCGATTGATTGTATGGATGCATTTTCACCAAACTGTGCACAGAAAGTCCAGGAATATGCATTAAGAAAAACAGAAAGCTCATGTTGACTTTCAGTGTTAAATTAAGATGACCTCAAGCGTTCGCTCCACCGACAACTGGACATAATCGACTGTCTGTGATGAGTCAAGTTATGAACACACACACACACACACACACATGTGTTCATAATAGAGGGAGGTGTCTATGGATTAGACCTGATTACATTCTCACACACTCATTCATTCCACTGTCTGGAGCTCGCTTGATCCTGTTGCAGCAACCTGCGTGACCTTCAGTAGATTTCCACTTCACGTGCCTGGAGCTGACGGTCACATCTTTGCGATTTAACCCCTTCCTTAACCGCACAGTAAAGGTTTTCCTCAATGCACTGACTCAAAGCAATGCATTGACTCAAATTCTGATTTAAATCGTTAGGATTATTCTGTGCACACTGGAAATCTCATTTCGGTTGCGTAAGAAATCATTCAAGTCATTCTTTGATGGATTCCTGGAGATTTGGATTCGATTTAAAGACGCAGCATTGCTCCACCTGCAACACCTTTACATAACCGGCGGAAACTCCTCTATCACCAGATTAACACATACGGCTTTGTTTGTAAACATTAAGATGAAGCACGGCTTGCATTTACTTGCTTCACCAGAGCTGCAGCAGATTTACACCGACCAGAATCTGGGGCAAATTGCTGTTCTCATTAACGGCATTAATTAGCCTAATCAGGTAATTAGCACTCGTGTAAATCACATCTGTGTACATTGTGTTCACAGATTAGAATACTCCCAAACTCACTGCTAACTCTTTTAACTAGGAATAACTAGGAAAGTTGGATGGTATCAGCTCATGCAAATGTGCATGTAAATTTTTAAAACTGATGTTTTTGGCAGTACAGATATAAAGAAGCACGATACTCACACAAACATGGCGATGCCAGTGTTAGCCATGGCATAGGAAAGTCCCAGGATTCCACTTCCCATGATGGCATTGCCCAAGTTAAACACCGACATCCCGAACGACGCCGAACCAGGGCTCTGAAAAACAGGAACAGTGAGATTTATGTGTGTGAAACGGCAGTATCTGATGAAACCTCTCAGACCAGACCAACCACTTACATATTCAGCTTCATATTTCTTCTTGCCCAGTTGATGATCAGAGAGGAAGTTCTGGCTTTCCGCGTCCACGTCGGTATATTGCATTCTGTAAGCACATCAGTGCATTAGATCAGCATGAGGGAAGGTTTATTAACTAATAGTGACTCGTCTCCAGGTCAAATGAAGCAAGTTTTACCCATTGAGGGGAACTTTGGGGGGACAGTGTTGATAACTCGTGTACTCGTTGCTGTTGGAAATGCTGCTGTCTATGTCTGGATCGATGTTAAAGCGACTCATCTTTGTGTTTGCAGGGGCTTTGATCATTCTGTAATGCAAAAAAAGGTTTATACAAAGATATGCAAACATTTTACCTAAAATTTGTAAATGATTATTATTACTGAAACATTTAAAACCACACCTTCATTGTAGTCTAATGATTATTTGGGTGTTCTTGTTTCAAAATCAGAAATAACCAAAGTGGTTATTTGACAGTCAGTTGCATGGGTGTTAATGCGGTTTAGAAAATGCATGTCCATGCATTGCTCAGCGGAGCCGCGCCTCAGCTCAGCAAATGGGCATCAGGTCATGTGACCCAAAATATGACATCATCGAATGTTTATTTTTTAATATTCTAAGCACTTTAAAATTTTAAAGTTTTCTTGTCGTGATTATTTAAAGGTTACCTAAAGTTATTTAAAGGCTACTAATAGTGACCCGTCCAGGTCAAATGAAGCAAGTTTTACCCATTGAGGGGAACTTTGGGGGGACAGTGCTGATATCTCATGTACTCATTGCTGTTGGAACTGCTGCAGTCCATGTCTGGAGCACGGTCAAAACGACTCATCTTTGTGTTTGCAGGGGTTTTGTTCATTCTGTAATATAAAACAATGGAATATTCTCCTTATTATGCAAGGATTTAGGTTTTGCTTATCCATTGAGGAGAAAAATTGGCTATTTTTGGGGGACATACACGCCCACGAGGCTCCAATTTGGTGTTTTGTGTAAGAAATTATCTTGTAATTGGTTTGACTGAAACTGTTTTACCAACATTTACACTTTTCTGTACAGCTGATAAAGGTGGGTCTCTTATCTCTGACATCCCTGTCCTCTGCACTTGAGTTTTAATCGAAGTTAAAGTTTTATCTGCTTAATCTTAATTATGTTTTTATTTCATTGTGTGTTACTGTTTCTCTCTCTCTCTCTCTATCTCTCTTTATCATGTATTAGTGTTATAGCCTACTTTGTGAAGCACAACTCCTGTTGTGTTTATATATATATATATATATATATATATATATATATATATATATAATG